ACATAAATGCCACCTAAATAGTTGTTATACTATATTCTTTAGGGAATAACGACAAGAAAAAAAAGTGGACACGTTCAGTACAGAGGCAGTGATCATAGGCTTTTCTGCATTGGTTGAATCCGCAGATGCAGAACTGCGGATACAGAGGGTCAACTGTATATATCTGTATCTTCCTACCCATGTCTTCAGTTGTGCCTTGTCTTGATTCATGCACAGATCTCCTGTTTTATCCTTTCTAGAGAGTAGGCTTCTGCTAGAGTTGGGGAAGGGCCATCACCCAGGGAGTGTGGAGTGAAGGAGGGATCTAGGAATCTTAACCTCTTTTCATAAAACTTTCACTCTGATCCTCCATACTTCAGCAGTCTCTTCCTCCTCCTTGTTTATCTGTCCCAGTTCCAGAGGTACATGCTGCTCTGTGGGTTCCTATAACTTTGAAGGGTTCTGCAGTGCAAATCTGAACGGTTCTCTGTTCTCCCTACTCTTGGCTTGGGAAGTGGATTTTGACATAGTTTTAAGTCCTCCAAGTCGGTTGCCATGTCCATCAGCTTTCCAAATTCCAACTTTTTTTATTGTCTTCTTTCCTCCATGTCCTTGTGGTTCTCTATGTCTCTTTACTGTAGTTTTTCTGGGCTTTGAGGGAAAGCAGAAATTGATGGGGGTGTTCTTTTTGCCATCTTAACTCGTCTTAATTCGTTATTTCATAACTCCTTTTCCAGAGATTAAGTTAATAACTTGAGGCCAGTATGCCACCCCCTTTGCCATAGGGGCATGGAAGATGTCCATATTGCTGATGTTTGCATGTTCTGGACTGCAAAGGACTTAAGAGCTTTTTGACTTGCTGACAACTAAATGAGCAATGTCTTCCTTTTTCCTCCTCTGCCATGCCTTTATAAGGAAATGTGGATTGGTAGGTGTCTCTACAAAGCATTCTTAACTTCCAGCTCAGAGAATGTCTATCAGAAGTAGAATTTTTTCCACTTGCATTACAGCCATAATCCTCTCCAGGCTTCTTATAAAGTTTTTGAACTGAGATCTTTGTAATGCTTATTTTTCATCATTAACATGCTAAACAAAGCTGTTGATCACTTCCAGATCACTTGCTCATTTTAAAAATTGTCTAAGATTATAAATCAGTATATAAAAATAATAGCCACTTTAATAATCTACCAAGTAATACTCCAATTAGAGAGGGTAAAGATAGAAATACCTAAGTTGATACTCATTGTTTTAGAATATTTTCTATCAAAAGGGTTTTTTTGGGGAATGTCATTCTTTTATTCTGATTTTTGAAACAATAACACAGAATCTTTGTAGAAAAATTGAAAATGCAGGAAACCAAAGAAGTAATCACCTTTATTCTTACCACTCAGAGGTAATTACTGTATATAGATATGTATGATGTGGGTATGTGTGATAGATATATATATATATTACACACACATATATATACTATATATATACTATATATATCCTTCTAGTCTTTATGTGTAAATATATGAATAAAAATATATCATGAATATTTTCCATGTTATTCTCCCACAAGTCATTTTACTTACTACATTCTCATTCACTGGTTGGCAAGCTATTTCTGTAAAGGCCAAAAAGTTTAATTTTTGGCTTTGCAGGCCACATGGTCTCGGTTACAACTACTCAACTCTGCTCTTGTAGTGTGAAAGCAGAAGTAGACGTTATAGAAGCAAACAAATGAGCATGACCATTTACCAATAAAACGTTATTTACAAAAACATGCCGCCCCAGATTTGGCCCACTAGCCATGATTTGCCGACCCCTAGACATTTTTTTTTTATGTTTTATTTTGACATAATTATAGTTCACAAAAAGTTGCAAAATAGTACAAAGAGATCCCATTTACCCTTTACCCAGTTTCCCCCAAATTACATCTTAACTATAGTATGTTATCAAAACCAGGAAATATACATTGGTACCATGTGTGTTTATTGTTCCATACCATTTTATTACACGTGTAACCACCACCACAATACAGATGGAGAACTGTTCCATCACCGGAAGGCCTCCCTCATTCTCCCCTCGTGTAGTCACAACCACCTTCCTCCCCAACCGTTCCTACCTCTTGGCAGTCACTAATCTACTTTCCATCTCTATAATTGTGCCAGTTTGAGAATGTTATACAAATGGAATCATAACAGTACATGACCTTTTGAGATGGACATTTTTCACTCAGCATTGAGATTGATCCAGGTTGTTGCATGTATCAATAGTGTTCCTTTCTATCGCTGAGTCGTATTCCAGGGTATGAGTGTTACACGGTTTGACCATTCACCTATTGAGGGGTGTTGTGGTTGTTTCAAAGGATTCTTTTATGGTGCTAATGAGCACATATTCCATGTGACTCAGCATACTGTAATAAACACTGTGGACCTCATTGATCTCCATATTTGGTTCAACTGACTAGGCAGGTGTTCCCTTCCTTACTGTCAAGCTTCCAAGTCGAATGTGGTTCAGAATGTGGTGGTCCATCTATTTCAGGTGTTCAATTGAATTGTGTTGTATCTGTCATAGTTTTAAGCTCATTAAAACTCACTAATTTAAACCAAAGGCTATTGATCCTCCAGGGAATTCCATTAGCTTTGCAGGTTAGTATTGACATCATATATCTATATTTATGGTGATGGTTGAATAAATAGTCAATACTTGAAATAGAGATTCAAATTTGAGTCTCGGTGTTACCGCTTACTACCTGCTGTCACTGAGAAGTCACCTAACCTTGAACCTCCATTTTCTTACCTATAAAAATGAAAAACAAAAAAAGTACCAACCCTGTCTCACAGAATTGCTGTGAGGAGTAAATGAGATTACCCAGGAAAAGTGTTTGGGGAACAGGAAAATGCCATACAAACATTATAGTAATATTCATAACAATAAATAATCCTTCATTAGCATTATTATTATATAGCAGCAGTTTTATAATTAGGATGAGTAGCTTTTATTAACAAGTAAGTATGTGGAGGAGTGGGATATCCCTGCTGAAAAAAAAATTTAAGACCTGGTTTTGCAGAGTTAGAAAGCCAAAAGAACAGAGAGGAAGAGTGGTATTTCTGTGTGTGGTAATGGATGACCTGTGTTGCAAACACAATACCATCTGGCAGACGTGAGAAGAAATCGTTTAAATCAACAATGTCTGTAATGAGCTACCATCTGATTCCTGTTAATCAGGCCTTCCTTTTCAAACCGTCTTCCCCTGGTTTCCATGACCCTGCTCTCTCTTGCTTCTCCTTCTGGCTTATCATCATCATCTTCTTGGCCCTTAAATATGGAGTTCTCTGGGGATCATCCCTGTACTTCTCTTTCCATGACCTCTTCTCTGGCAATATCATGCCTTTACATCACTCTCCAAACAAAGCCTACATCTGTGTCTCTAGCCCTGACCTCCCTCATTTCCATCCTGCTGGCTGGATGTCTCTATCTCAGACTCAGTATTTCCAAAGCTGAGGTCATTTTTCTTACTAAGATGGCCCTTCTTTTCAAATTCTGTTTCTGTCCACAGCCCTACCATCTTCTCAGTCCTTGGTTATTCTTTTCTCTTTGCCACCTCCCAACTCCCCCCAAATCTAGCCATGTTGTCAATTCTTTGACCACAGTCTCCCATTTCCTCTTCCTTTCCATTCCAGGCCTACACCTTTAGCTTTTTAACTAAAATCCCATCTTCCCTCCCCACCACCATCCGTTCATCCCTCCTCACCTTTTTCACATGAATCTTCACAGCTCTGTTCAGGTTCTTCCTACTTAGTGCCCTTGATTGCTACCCTTGTTTGTAGAATAAAGCCCAGATTGTTAGTCTCATATAAAATCTTCTCCTTGAACAAACTGCTTTTTTAATCTTTATATGCTAAGACTCCAGATGAACTGAAAGGAAGTAATATGAAGTAAACTCTTCAAAATTCCATAATGTTTTCTTTTTCTCATGACACTTTTCTACCTTCATTTAAAGTAATTTATGTGCCTACTTTCTTTTCTGTGCTGGACCCACATGTAGTTTCTCTGAATATTCTCACAGAGTTGCATATAGTATATATTTAATTATTCATTGAATGAGTGTTTGGTCCTGTGGTAGAAACTCAATTCTTGGTTGGACCATTCATTCAACAAGTATTTATTATTGAACACCTTACTGTGGGTCAGGTACTTTGAGGTGTTGGCATATAGTGAACACAGTCTCAGCCTTTTTTCCTTTTATATTTGAGTTTATTCTTCATCTAACTTTTAAAACACTACTATACTTGCATATTAAAGTAACAACAATAGCAAGTAGTGAGCATATTATGATTATAGTCCTTCACTCATTCACTACTGCATATGAAATGGCAGCAGTGAGTTTTACTCACTGACCCCAGTAAGTAGTCTGACACTGAACACCACCCCTAGGATGACGTTCATCATCCTCATATGCTTCTCCCTTGTAATGGCGCCATCTTTCCCGATTTGGAGCAAAGTCCACCAGGCCTGCCTGGTCCATTTCATCAGTCTCTTCCACTTCCTTCCTCTTAGGTAGGAGTTCTCAGGACAAGTTACCTTAAATTCAATGAGTAGGCAGCCCGTTTCATATGGTCTATGATAAATTGCCATGCCCTCATTTAGCGCACACACAGACCTAACATTCTAGTAGGAACCCTAAAGATGTTACCATTGGATTATTTATGACTTTATACTAAAGTATTACCTTTGCTTTAGACATAAGTACAAAGGTATCAGGCACTTAGTTTAAGAATATATTAAATATTAAATAATTATTCTCTGGTTGCCAGAAGGATATGGCATTTACTTGTTCAGTGAAGTGAGATTTATATTAGGAGAGAAGAACACAGGTGAGTTTACAAAGGCTCTTTCTAAGAGAAGAAAGTAGCTGGTGGGGAGGGAAAAGAGAGTGAGGCTCGAGCAATGAGGTCTCCTCCAGTTAGTCATTTCTTCTCGGGCAGGCAATTGCATGAAACTAACATAATGTGCTCTTGGATCTTATACAGATGGCAATCAGGAATTATTTCCCTGTGAAGTCTGTGGAAGACGCTTCGCAGCAGATGTTCTGGTAAACATAAAGACATTTTGTAGATGTGTTTCATTGGAGTTAAATGAACTGTCAAGTTAGTGAGGAGGCCGCAGTGGCAACGATTAAAGACAGATGTGGAAGAAAGCAGGGGACGCGAAGGACATAACCTATGGCTGGCAGGCCCGGAGGACACTGAGGCAGGTCCATGCTGCTCCATTCAGAAGGGAACTTAGTAAACATGGTCCTCTTACTAAAAGGATGCCCGATGAAAGTGTCTTGGCACAGCTGATTGTCTCTTGAGAGGTTTTGGCTCTTTCGCCTTTTCTATAAGCATCAAAAAGTCAAATTTTAAGGCCAAAGCACTAGGGAAATTAGCTAGTCAAGAGGAATGAACATTGAATTTGGAGCATCTGGAAACTTGGCTTTTGGCCTCAAATTTGTCACTAATTCTGACAAGTCCTTTAACCTCCCTCTGTTTCCTGCTTTGCCACGTATGAAGACAGAACCCTCCAATTTCAGGGGTTTTATGTAATTTGAACAAAAGGGATGTAAGGCCTGTTCCAAGATCTAATTGTTAACCAGATTCACGCTAACCGCATGTCAGGTCCCCTGACTGATGCCTATAAAGTCAAATAAAAGCTTGATTTATTTCAGAATTAGGGAATCAAACAGGTGTTAGGCCTCAATATTATAAAGGGATTCCCAAGAAAAATGATTTAAAAACAAAATCTAAGATGATAATGCAATTGTTAGGACATTTTAGATCAAGGAGATTTATATCGAACTTAAAGGATTTGGACTATAAGCCTGACTACATTTGGGACGAAAGAGACTAAAAATGAAGTTGTAGGTTTTATTTCTCTGGAGAATTTAAAAAATGAAGTATATATTCTTCTATATACTTAATATAAGAATTAACTGCAGTTAGAGCTTCCTGAATCTAGAAGGGGAGCTGACAAGGCCTTTGTGGCCCATTAAGCCACCAGTGTGGCCTTTGCCAGCCTGGGACTGTACCCCATGAGAAGAGGTTTGACACCTCAGAGGTACCGTTTGAAGAAGGATCACTGAATGTCCTGTATGTCTTAGGTGCTCTTGAGTTTTATTTCCTAGGCCTATCTCCAGGCTGCAGAGAGCATTTGATCAAGTGATCTGCTCTCTGTCTCTAGTCTAAATTGTATGGCTTGTTTGTAGCTGGGTATAGTGCTTTTCATAGAGCCTGTATTTTGTTGAGTCTGGACAAAGCAACTGTGTAAGTGATAGCTATTATGAGTTACATATCCACCAAGGAAGAGGATTTAGAGTGGAAGGCAAAGATGTTGGTATAATCCGATAGTGGTGCAGTACGGAGTTGATAAAGGTGATAGACAGAGCTCTATGTGTTGGTTGCCTGGTTTTTGTACCAGAAATGCTGAGAACTTAAAAGACTACTGGCTGGAGTAAAGACTGTTTTCCCTGCCAGTCGTCTTATAAATATTGTCATATTTTTAAACTAAATAATATAAGCTTAAGTTTGCTCTGAAATCAATGACTTCATGAATATGAAGTGTTTGGATAAATTGAAGGAAAACATCTTCATAACTTAAATGGAATTGGTGCATTGCTCTTTATTTGTGTGGTTGTCCAAGATGTTTTTTGCAGATGTTCTCAAGTATTTCTTTGAAACTTCTGTTCAGGAATTAGGTGGTTTAATTTGCTGCATGTAGAAAAGTGGCCCATTTGAACTCGATTTTGAAATGCTGAGGGGTAAGAAGAGTTATCCTGAGAAGGTTCCACTGGTAGGAAGCCAAGTTTCCCCTTGCTGTATGCAAAGTTATTTCAAAAGGATGGTAAAACTGAATATTAAAGTTTGGGGACTCAAATTTCCTGCTAAACTACAGGGTGACTTGCTTTTGGAATTTAGGAACAGTGAAGGCAGGAATCAGAACAGAAGAAATAGTCAAGAAAACTTCATTGGCTTCAGTGAGTACCTAACTCAGTATCAGAAATATTTATTTCAATTTGAACTAGGAAGTTTGTCTTTTCCACATTATTTAAATGCTTAGAACCATTCATACAGCCAAAGTGATAGAGTTAAATATGTAAAGCCAAACACGAAGTTAAGTTTCTGTAGCTGTAGAGAACTTCTGTCGACCTTGCCCAACACAATATCCAGTTATGTGTAACAGGCTGAGGAGAGCCAGAGGGATTTGCTCTGCTGTGGTTTGAGAGTTAGAGAATGAACTTGGCTCTGAAGGTGCAACCCAGTCACTCGCGGGATTGCCTGAGTACACTGCAGTGTTGCAAACTTGGTGATTGTACATGTTAAAAATTTTAATCCCCACTCTTTCTTTTCTAGGAAAGGCATGGACCAATATGTAGAAAACTCTTCCACAAAAAGCGTAAACCTTTCAATTCCTTGAAACAAAGATTACAGGGCACTGACATTCCCATGGTGGGGAAAGCTCCTCAGTCCAAGGTACGAGCCATATCTTCCTTGTTGTTCCTGATTACATCCTTAAGTACATTAAAGCCTCTTTCTGGCTCTCTGGTTTCATTTTTGCTTGATAGTGCAGTGTAATGTCATGTAAGTATAATCCACCTTTGCTGTTTTCTTTTTAATCATGCTCACTTAGATTTCCCAACGTATCCAGATACTTTCCAGATGTGGCAAAAAAGAATCTCGTTTATATTTTCATTAGAGTAGCATTAAATCTAGCAATTAACTTGGAAGACAGTCACTTTTAATCTTACATTTAAGTCCTCCTTTCAAGTTTTGTAGTTTTTATTTTTCTGATTGTTATTTTGTGTTTTCCCTCACTATTGTGACTTGCAAATTTTATTACTGTATTTTCCAAATCTCTTTTAGTACTTCTGAAAAACAAATGCTCATTTCTTTCCAAATTTCACAGCCCTGTTTCCTGTAAATTCAAATCCCAGCTTAAAAAAAAAGTCATAATGGAGAGATATATAATCTGGGTTAATATATGTTGGTTTTATTTTTTTTATAGCCTCAATCTGTGAGGAAATCTAACTGGAGACAACAACATGAAGACTTCATTAATGCTATTCGATCAGCAAAGCAGTGTACACTAGCCGTTAAAGAAGGCCGGCCACTCCCCCCACCACCCCCTCCGTCCATCAACCCAGGTGTGTGGCTAGTTTGGTGTACTTTTGATATTTTACTCTTAACCGGTGGAGGCTATGCTTGATTTTTGGCCAAATCCTCATGCCTTCCTTCCTCCTATGCACCCTAAAGTTAACAGTAGCAATTAAATTATGTAAAAGTAATTTTATCATAAATTTATCTTATCCTATTTTTTTTTCAGTTCTGCATAAAGATTCTGTATTTCCTTCTAACTCTCTCTGAACATGAGAACACTGCTGCACCCGATGTCATGGCATTATATAACTCCAAGGGACACCGTTCACATCACGGTTTATGAGAGTGGAGCTGTGCAGAGCAGTTTAAGCAGTTCTACAGTAGTTCCATAGTGTCAGATACTCACAGCTCTTTTTTTTCTTTTTTTGAGATAAAATTCTAATAATATAAAATTCACCATTTTAACCATTTTAAGTTGTACCATTTAGTGGCCCACAGCTTTTTTACCCTAAACTTTTTGTTTTGAAAATTTTAAAATGTACAGAAAAGAGGAAGGAATGGTTTAATGATCACTCATTTACCTTCCACTGAAATTTGACAGTTGTTATCATATTTTCTCTCTCTTTTTCTTTTTTTGGCAAAACTGTCTAAAAGTAAGTTTCAAATATCATAAACACTTTACCCTTAACTATTTCAGTATGCATTTCTTAAGCATAAGTACATTTTCCTGCATAATCACAGTACAATTATCACACTTAATATGTGGACTCATATTTTCCCAATTATCTTAAGAATGTCTATAACCCTTTCTCTTCACCGCCCAGCCACAATGCAGGATTCATTCAAGGTTTATGCATTGTCTTTTGTTGTCTCTTTAGTCTCTTTTAATCCTACTCAACACCCCTACCAGGCCAATTATCTTTTGGAATGTCTCATGTTCTGGATGTGTCTGGTTTTTTAGTCCTATTAATGATTAACTTGTTCCTCTATCTCCTATCTTTCTGTACATTGGAAATTAGGGCTGGAGGCTTGATCAGATTCATATTAATATTAATCTCTTATCACATATAGGATTTTCAAATATTTTCTCCCATTCTGTGGACAGTCTTTTCATTCTTTTGATGGACAAAAGTTTTTAATTTTGATGGAGTCCAGTTTATCTATTTTTTCTTTTGTTGCCTAGCTTTCGATGTCAAATCCAAAAAATCACTACAAGAGCCAATGTCACGAAGCCTTTCTCCTATGTTTTCTTCTACAAGTTTTATAGTTTTAGCTCTTACCTTTAGGTCTTTGATCCAGGTTGAGTTAATTTTTTTTTCTTTATTGTGAAATTTTTGTTGTACATTACTGTTTGTCAGTCACCATATAAATGCATGCCTTCACCCCTTGTGCCCACCCCCTACCCCCCTTACACCTGGTAACCACCAAATAGTTCTCTCTGTCCGTGTGTTGGTTTATCTTCCACTTATGAGTGAAATCATGTGGTGTTTGTCTTTCTCCTTCTGGCTTGTTTCGCATAACATAATACCCTCCAGTTCCAACCATGTTGTTGTAAATGGGACGATTTTGTCTTTTTTTATGGCTGAGTAGTATTCCTTGTATATATACGCCACATCTTCTTTATCCACTCATCAGTTGAGAGACATTTGGGTTGCTTCCGTGTCTTGGCTATAGTGAATAATGCTGCGATGAACATAGTGGTGCATAAGCCTCTTTGGATTGTTGATTTCAGGTTTATTGGGTAGACACCCAGTAGTGGGATAGCTGGATCATAAGGTATTTCTATTTTTAATTTTTTGAGGAATCTCCATATTGTTTTCCATAGAGGCTGTGCTAGTTTGCATTCCCACCAGCAGTGAATTAGGGTTCCCGTTTCTCCACAGCCTCTCCAGCATTTGTTGCTTTTTGTCTTGGTGATTATAGCCATTCTAACGGGTGTAAGATGATATCTTACTGTGGTTTTGATGTGCATTTCCCTGATGATTAGTGTAGTTGAACATCTTTTCATATGCCTATTGGCCATCTGTATATCTTCTTTGGAGAAGTGTCTGTTCATTTCCTCTGCCCATTTTTTGATCGGGTTACTTGTTTTTTTGTTGTTCAGTTGTGTGAGTTCTTTATAGATTATTGAGATTAATCCCTTGTCAGATATATGGTTTGCAAATATTTTTTCCCAGCTGATGGGTTGCCTGTTCATTTTGATCCTGGTTTCATTTGCCTTGTAGAAGCTCTTTAATCTGGTCCCACTTGTTTATTTTTTCTTTTGTTTCCCTTGTCCGAGTAGGCATGGAATTCAAAAAGATCCCTTCATGACCGATGGCGAATAGTGTACTGCCTGTATTTTCTTCCAGGAGTTTTATAGTTTCAGGTCTCACCGTCAGGTCTTTGATCCATTTTGAGTTAATTTTTGTGAATGGTGATAGCAGATGGTCTGCTTTCATTCTTTTGCATGTGGCTGTCTAGTTTTCCCAACACCATTTATTGAAGAGACTTTCCTTTTTCCATTGTATGTTCTTAGCTCCTTTGTCGAAGATTAGCAGCCTTTAGAGTGACGTTTTATTTCTGGGCTTTCGATTCTGTTCCATTGATCTGTGTGTCTGTTTTTGTACCAGTACCATGCTGTTTTGACTACTATTGCTTTGTAGTATGTTTTGAAGTGAGGGATTATGATGCCTCCAGCTTTGTTCTTCTTTTTCAGGATTGCTTTAGCTATTCGGGGTCTTTAGTTGCCTCATATGAATTTTAGTATTCTTTGTTCTATTTCTGTGAAGAATGTCCTTGGGCTTCTGATTGGGATTGCATTGAATCTGTAGATTGCTTTAGGTAGTATGGACATTTTAACTATGTTTATTCTTCCAATCCATGTGCATGGAATATTTTTCCATTTCTTTATGTCATCATTAATTTTGCTCAATAATGTCTTATAGTTTTCATTTTATAGGTCTTTCACTTCCTTGGTTAAATTTATTCCTAGATATTTTATTCTTTCTGTTGCAATTGTAAATGGGATTGTCTTCTTGAGTTCTCTTTCGGTTAGTTTGTTATTAGAGTATAGAAATTCAACTGATTTCTGTAAGTTGATTTTGTACCCTGCAACTTTGCTGTAGTTGTTGATTATTTCTTATAGTTTTCCATTGGATTCTTTAGAGTTTTCTATATATAAGATCATGTCATCTGCAGACAGTGAGAATTTCACTTCTTCGTTGCCTGTTTGTATTCCTTTTTGCTCTGGCCAGAACCTCCAGTACTATATTGAATAAAAGTGGTGAGAGTGGGTACCCTTGTCTTGTTCCTCTTCTTAGAAGGATAGCTTTCAGTTTTTCCCTGTTGAGCATTATGTTGGCTGTGGGTTTGTCATATATGGCCTTTATTATGTTAAGGCCATATGAATGTGTTGGGAAGTGTTCCGTATTCCTCTATTTTTTGGAATAATTTGAGAAGGATAGGTGTTAAATCTTCTTTGAATGTTTGGTAAAATTCTCTGGAGAAGCCATCTGGTCCTGGACCTTTATTTTTTGGGAGGTTTTTGATTACTGTTTCAATCTCTTTACTTGTGATTGGTCTATTCAGGTTCTCTATTTCTTCTTGGTTCAGTTTTGGGAGGTTGTATCAGGCTAAGAATTTATCTATTTCTTCTAGATTGTCTGATTTGTTGGCATATAGTTTTTCATAGTATTCTCTTATAATC